TTGCCTATACACGTGTAGCTGTTCAACTTGCACCCACACACTCGCTGACGGACGACAGCCTACTTGAGACACTCGTCAACCTTGCGCAGTCCACTCCAATTCTCCTTCCAGAGATCAGCCAATCTTCAAAACATCTCCTCTCTCTAAAATCATCCATGCTTGTCAGGAAAGAAAATGATTGACTAATTGCTGCTGTCAAATAAGCTTTTAAACTTAAACCGATTTTGAATTTTAAAAACGTAATAATGATTCATATATAAAAATGTCAAAAGTATAAATAATTTTTTCAATTTTGTAACATTCTATAGCTTTATTTAGTTTTAAATATGGTTATGAAATATAATTTAACATCATCAAAAGCGTTATCAAAATTTAACTACCATTATTATTACTATCATTATTAGGATTATCAATATCATTATTATTAGTAGTAGTAATAGTAGTGATATTATTATAGTAGTAGTAGTAGTAGAAGTAGTAGTAGTAGTAGAAGTAGTAGTAGAAGTAGAAGTAGTAGAAGTAGTAATAGTAGTAGGAGTAGTAGGAGTAGTAGTAGTAGTAGTAGTAGTAGTATTTGTAGAAGTAGTATCATTATCATCATAATCCTCTATTACTCTTTCTATTATTGTTATTATTATTATCGTATAGAAATATAACATGTTGCTGTTGTACGGTCAATATTAAATTATGATATAACAACCCGATGCACTTCCAACATTTAAAATATCGTTCACTCAGCTTTAGCTACTTTAATGGGTTTCATCACACAGTACATTTCCAGGAATAAATTCTGCCAGATATCCATCTCAGAAAAAAAATACTTGTCTTTTCCAAGGAAAAAAAGCAATCTCTGATTTGATCGAGAGCACGTGGAATGTATAAGCAGATGGGGCGATCTTCCGATGTGCGTGCAATTTCAAAACACGACGTAAAAGCCTTGTCAAATACTAAACAACACTCTTTAAGTCGTTTCTCTTCTTTGAAGTTTACATACTCGGGAATTAATTATTATAGACATGCGAATTAATTCTATGACATGTGGTGTGTATCATTAAATGGGTGTGTGAGGATGTCATCTTGTTTGTAGATGATAACCATGATGAAACCAGAATATTTGACACGATTTTGCAATAAAAAATTATGAGACATGTCAAACTTTTAATATTCATCCTGTTAATCATTCATAAAATCATTGATTTTTCTTTTGAATCTTCCCAATAATAAATCATATATCATGGCGGTTTGCAAACATTTCGACAACTAATAATCTCTCAAGGACTTCCGAAAACAGCCCTTGTCATAATAAACCTCAATTTCAATATCTCTTTCATTTTTTCAAAATGTAGTCACGGAAATATTTGTTCACAGGGTTAATCATTCACACGGAAAGTGACAAAACTGCTTCATCGTAATCAATATCGCCCAGACTCCATTAAAGAGGGAGAGACAATAGGTATATCAGGTTCATGAAATTGAGATCTGTTTAAGCCATGCCAACGTTGGAATTTGTCTCTAGTTGCCTGAAGAGAGCAATAGACTTATAAAGTTGCAAGTCACAAAGCGCACGTATATCACACCTGCCATTTCATTGGTAATACTATCCAAATTGGTTAACCCGTTAACAAAGAAGAAGTTGAAAGAACGACCATGAAATTTTATTCAGATACATGTCTGAGAGATTTATTTCTGCAAGATACACTATCCAAAATGCTAAAGAAAGTATTAATCAAAAGTATACTATCCAAATTGGTTAACCCGTTAACAAAAGAAGTTGAAAGAATGACCATGAACATGTAATTTTATTCAGATACATGACTGAGAGATTTATTTCTGCAAGATACACTATTCAAAATGCCAAAGAAAGTAATTACTCAAAGCACGCTCTCTCTCTCTCTCTCTCTCTCTCTCTCTCTCTCTCTCTCTCTCTCTCTCTCCCTCTCTCTCTCTCTCTCTCTCTCTCTCTCTCTCTCTCTCTCTCTCTTGTGTAACATTAATGAGAAACCTTCTTTTTCCTTCTCCAATATCTTATCAAAGTTAACCTTCTGACTAGTGAATTCTCTTAAACAAAGGGGGTAAATACAAAATGAAGGTGGAAACGACAGCAATATTATGACACGATAATAAAGGTCGGCATGCTTTTCTACCTCATGTACCTACACATATTATATACATATATTATAAAACAAATGGTTTTCACTTTGACTTTTCTATAAGCAAGAAGATTGTGACAATGAATAAATATTTAAACGGTGCGAATGAGGAGAGAGAATGTCAGAGAAAGAGAGAGAAAGTTTAAGAATTGGAAGTGCGAGAGAGACTGACAACGTGTGCTTGGAGACGGGATAGAGGGTTAATAATTCATGGAAAGGGGTTTAGTTAGGTACACAGACGGCTCCAACTGGGAAATGGCGTTCACCTTTTTTGAAATGCTGATTCCTGGGTAAAATGTTATGCTAAAACGTTGCCACCGACTGATTTCTTAAAATTAGCGCCTAAAGTGCCCACAATTTATGTTTTAGGGGCCCACCAGTGTTTTTATGCATTTAGATACAAATATTTTGGCTGAAAATGTAGAAAATCCACTACGAATAATACAGTGAAATATGGTATAGGTTAAGAACCACAGAAGACCACTGGGGTCCTGAAGTTACTCCAAAAGGGCACAACGAACCAGCAACTCTAGACATTCGGAGGGACTGTTTTAAAATAGTTTCTGTGGTAAATATTTATTTTGGTATAAAAATACAACGTACACACTACCTAATTTCAAAAGACCAGCTTTCCAGTTAAAAATGTTGAATGCTAAATCAAAAGCTTGAAAACACGCCTCTTTCATAACTGCCCTAATTTATCGACCCTTCTTTGAGTCACATTGCGAACAAGTTCAGTGGTCTGGTATATCATGACTATGTTTCAAGGCCTCATGTAAAACGGTCTCACTCATTGATGTGTAATGATGCATGGCGTAGAACCAAATTGATAATCAATAAGTACCTGATGTATTCTTTACAATCATTATGGTCATGATAAACATATCAATGATATTGGTTAGAAGTAGCAGGAAATATATAGCAATAACAAATAAAGTTTGATGTATCGAAATGGGGCATAATGTCCCCTAAATATTGATCGATTATTTAATGCAGGTTACATTGCTCATTAATAAAGGGCTTTATTGAGCATTTCAAGGTTATAGTCGTATGTGTAGCTAACTATACGGAATGCAGAGAGATGGGTGATGCGATGTGAATAGCTTCGAGAGGATGGAAGAGAGACACACGAATGCAGAAGATTAAGAGGAAGAGAACGTTTTTGGGATTTCAAACAAAACCTTAAAGGGGGAAATACGAAAAAGATAGGAAAGAGAGGAGAGAGGGGTAGGGATACAGAAGGATGTCAAGGAACGTGAATATCTTCATTCAAAGTACTTACCGTAGAGGGGTTTGATATAATCGCCCTGTTGGAATTGGACTGGGGTCTCATTCTGTACTTTGGAAGGTCATGGTCTTTAAAGGGCACAGGCGCTGCATAAATGTACTTGCTGCGACCAAAGAGGCAGTACAGACACTTGATAAACGAGAGTGAAGTTTAATGTGTCCTTGAAAAGGTGAATTTGCATATACATGTAACGTTTGATGATTAACGTCAAAATGTACTTGAACTTGAACAGAAAGAACATGTTCTTTAAAGGGAGAGGGGAACAAACATTAATTTTAATAAACTGAGAGTGGGATAGAGAGAGAGAGAGAGAGAGAGAGAGAGAGAGGGGGGGGGGGGTAGGGGGAGAAAGTTGGATACTGAAACATACGGACAGAAATACATACAGAAAACAGACAGAGGGACAGACATAACACATTATTTAAAGAAAGAGAGGAAAAGATGAAGAAATGGAGAGAGCAGATTGAGGGGGAAAGAGAGACATATTAGAGAGAGAGAAAGAGAGAGAGAGAGAGAGAGAGAGAGAGAGAGAGAGACCGAAACAGACAGACAGACAAACATAGAAAGAAAAAAATGACTGACAGGCAGAGGGGTAGGCATGACATATTCTTTAAAGAGATACAGGGGAGAAAAAGATGGAGAGATGGAGAGTTTGGATTGAGAGGGATCAGGAGAGGGGAGTGACTGAAAGACAGACATAAAGACTGACAGAGATGGACAAAGTTAAAAAAAGGGTAGATGAAAGAAAGTAAGTCAGAAACACGTACCGAAGAAAACAGGGAGGAATGGGCTTATTGGTCGAAAATCAAACTTAGCAAACAGTGCAATATATATACACATGTATATGCAATGTGATATTTAGGGGTATGCACAAGGTTTAATTGCTTTCGATCTTTTTGAAATGTAAAACTAAATTATTCGATTTTAAATCCACTCGGACCAAATCATGAATTCGATAGTCATATGCAATGGAATTGCTTTCATGTATCACCCTCTGAATCGAAACTAGTTCTTTACTTATTCTTTTTACATTATTCGATTCATTCTGTCCTACTTTAATCAATCCTCCATGTCTTGTTTAAGGTTTTGGAGACACGTTTCTAGATAAAATGCCGTAATGAACAAGAGGCTCATAACAATCATACTCATCCTTATATATCAGATTAGTATTTCATTTGTTTTCATTACAGATCAATTATGGTATGCAAAAAAGAGCCACTTCTGTCTCTTCTGGTGTCTAAAATAATTCATCTTTATTGTAAAACGTTAATATACGTTTGTTAAGTTGACATAAAACAAAACATCAAACATGCACATTTATATTCCTAAATTATTTGGAATATCCTTTACGTTGTATCATTAAATTACAATAAGTCTATTTCATTATAATTCACGAACATACAAAAGAAGGACAGGTAATGAATTGATAGGAGGTAACAATGCTGCCCCTACCCGCCGCCCCTATCCCCTCCATATCCGATACATCTGCCTCTCATAGTATTCCAATCTAAAGAACGATTCTAATCCATGTTCATTTTTCTTCTTTTTTTCTTCCTCCTCAGTCGTTCTTCGCGGAGCGTTTCTTCCATCTGTTCGACCAGGACGGGAGTGGGTACATCTCTCTGGATGAGCTGATGGAGGGGCTCTATCTCCTCACCAAGGGAGATCCTGTCGATAAACTTCGATTTCTCTTCAGTGTCTATGATGTCGACGGTATGTAACCATGTAACATGTGGGGGGTACGATCCATCCTGGTTTAGAGTGGCCGGCCTATCCCTGCAGGCAGGTGCGAGGGGCACCCCTATTATAGTCGGTCACTGCAATTCAACATGTTAATAATGAGTATCTCGAGTGACACCAGATCATAATTTCACATGGATTACCCATCTTAAAGAACTTAAAGCCCGTCTGTACTAGTTTGGCCAGGGGGGGGGTTAGACCACCGTGAAAGGTCACTGACAGGTGGTTATCTCATCAAATCAGCTCTTAATTAATATACGAAAAAGGGGATCACGGGGGACCAACATGCACCGATTAGGCATTGTTTGCTATATAGAGGGCGCAAGTAGCTTTAAGTAGTGCAGTTGGGCTTTAATTTCCGCAGTTAAAGAGTAATGCCACGTACCATGATGTTAACACGATGTTGACACGATTTAGGATTGTAAGACAACTCGCCCCTATCCAAATGTTAATGTGATATAAATCACTAGCTCTAATACGAGTCGTACACTTTCAAGATGTTATTGCGATAAGAAGCACGAGCTCTAAGACGATTTGTCCACTTTCTTGATGCAAATACTACATAAAGCACGAGTTCTATAAGACGAATCGTCGAATTTTACAATGTTAATACGATATAAAGAACGAGCTCTAAGACGAGTCGTACACTTTCACGATGTCATTGCGATATAAAGCACGAGCTCTAAGACGATTTAGCCACTTTCTTGATGCCAATACCATATAAAGCACGAGTTCTAAGATTAAACGTCGAATTTTACAATGTTAATACGATAAAGAACGAGCTCTAAGGCGAGTCGGACACTTTCACGATGTTAATACGATGTAAAACATGCGCTCTAAGGCCACCCGTCTATGTTCACAATGTTAACACGACATAAAGCACGAACGGTATAGCACTTTTAGAAGGCCACTCGACTACTTTCACGACCTTTAAAACGATGTACTCAAGTAGCTCTGACCAGGAATAGTGTTTGATTTACAGTGACATTTCCTGATCAAGTCTTGGTTGTCGGTGGTCGTCTGAACTCTGAATTTTGCAACATTTTGTTGGGACACACCCTGATTTCGGCTTAAAATACACGCATGTTTTCGTGAAACAAAATGTTGAGCACGTCTATTATGTATGGGCACATCAGGGACATCACGTGCTCTGCATGACACAAACAACAGGTGCCCAACATCATATCTCTCATGACGCAAAGCGTGCATGTTCCACAATAGGTGTTGGAGCTTACTACGAAGTTCATGAAATTAATACCTGCTTAACACTTAAACTACAGGAGCCTATAATATATTATTAATATCAGATGTCTTTGCTATCATAAAAGTCTGACCGCCAACATTGGAGGAGGCGCGATAGCTCAGCTGGTAGAGCAGCGGTCTCGTAATCCGGCGATTGAAACCAAGGTGATGCGCTAGTGCCCTTATAAGGCATTGATCCTCATTACCAGGTCTCTTGGAGAGGACCTTAAGCCGTCGGTCCTCTGGTTGCTTACTAACAAGCATTTATGCTTTCTTAGCAGTCAGGTAAATAACCACCACTCACCAACATGCTGAATCCTTACAGGATGTGTCGCCAGCTTAGTACGTGCTTACTAGTATTTTTATTCTGGGAATTCGTGTTTCGTGTTTGAAATAATTAAAGAGGGGAAGTAGCTAACCTGAGAGAAAATACCTAGAGCAAACCTTTAGTTCATGTGTGGGATTGACGAGGGCAGGCCTATGAACTTTGTTGCAGATCTCAAAGACGAAATCGGTTCAGTAGCAGAAAGGAATTCGACCTTATTGCTCAGAATAGACGTTATGATTCTTTTATTAAAGGGGAATGCTACCATAATATCAAGTTAGTTAACAGAAGCAGAAAAAATGAGAGAAACCGTTCAGTGAAAGTTTGAGCAAATACCTATGAAAAATAAATTGTTATTTCCCTTAAAGAAATTTTCAGTCATACAGTCACCCTATTTGTAATTACTGCAAATACAACCCCTGTATAAAAAAAAAAAAGCTATTTCGTCATCAATAAGTGAGAAGATTAAAAACTATGAAATTATCTGTACCTTGCAAATTGGAGAGAAGCTCGCATGATGCGTCACAGTGTTGCCAATTTGTGTTTTACTGATGACAACTTTCCTATTTTTAACCAGATATTGCTCAAACTTTCACTAATTTCTTTCTCTCATTTTCCTGCTTATATCAAAACCAACTTAGTATCGGGATGGACTCTCTTTTAAGACCTGGGATGACGTTTTATTTTCGTCGGCATAATTTGTCCGTCCAGTTGTCCGTCTCTCCTTCCCGCTACTTGATCAGTATTTATATCAAAAACTGTTCAGAAAAAGTAAAAACATTCACATAGAGATAAACTGACGAGATTAATTGGCATGTAGGTTGGCTAGGTATTTGTCGCTTACTAGAAATGAAAACAAAGAACCGCCACTAACATATCAATTCATTTTTTTTTAATTACTCATTTTAATGGATATTATCTTGTTAATTCATAAATATAATGTGGCGATGAGATGATTTATTTTAGAATCTAACACATTCTAGTTCTCGGAGTAGAATTTTCTGGGAGCGACAGAATTATGCTGTGGGAAAATGTTACTCACTCTGCGTTTACGATCGAACACACGATCGGCAAATATGAAATGCAAAATGATCGACCGTTGATATCGATTGAGGGTTGTTGATAAGGGGAAGCCCGACTAGGTTTTAACCATGCTTTACATCTCGACCAGCGTGTCCTTCTCTTATTGGCTCCCCTAAATCAAAGCTTGGCAAATAATTGCCGCGAACTACGTTTTCACACTTTGCGATTTGCCGGAATCAGGTGGTATGTGTGTGGGGGGACAGTTTGGTGCTGCTGGCTCGCGACTTCTTACAAGCATATCATGTAACGAGTTGCCTTAGAGTCTATAAGTATTGCTTTCTTCTTTATTTACATCAAAACGTACTGCAGTGTACTCAAGACATGTAGATTATAGAGGTAATATAATCGAAAGATGCTAATTTTATCACAGTAAATGTAAGACAGATCCTTTAGCACGTTCTAGGAGACGATTTTTGTTTGACTGTCGGTATATTTGTCTCGGCCATTTTCCGGTTTCTCGCGTCCTGAGCGAGCGCGAGAGTCTAGCTCAGACGGGTGAAGTGAAAAGGGGGGAAGAGCGAAAGTAGGTCATGAAATAGATCAGTTTTTACTTCAGTCATGTTCTAGAATTTGATGCGTTTGAAAAGTACTTCCAGACCTCATGTCCAGAGAGCAAAACTGACAAAGTGAACGTGCATTTTAGTTCAATAATGCCGATGTGATCTGACTGATAAATGGCATGCATACAAGCCACTATTTTACGCACAGTCAAGTGGGCCAGATCCATTTCTCCTCAAGATCAATGTAAAAGCTAGGTAATAACAGAATACTTTGCATGATTATTCCTTTAAGTGGGCAGGCATGAATTTATAATTTAAAGAAAAAGTTTGATACACTTTCATTCGACAGCATTACTCATAATCTAAATTCACGAATGTTATGACGAGTTTTATGCAATTAAAATAAATTCAACTCTATGTTTCTGCTGAGGTTGTGACAGCAGTCCCCTCACTGCCGAAACAGATTGATATCATATTCTGATAAATCTACTGATTATGGAAACAAGTTTTTGGTAGATGTAGATCAATGTACAGAAGAATTGAAATTAAATAGATAAAGCGTTTGTCGCATCATGTTGAATCTGTCTACACGTGTAACAAGTGGGAGTAATCTGAATCTGAACATCCTCATAAATCATAAAATTTAAACAGATACAGAAATGCAAACAAGATTTAAAGTATCAATGTAATCTGTGATTTATTTCTATAGATCTACCAAAGATATGAACTTAGGTTCTTTTACCGGATTTGACAAATCCTGTCATCTCACCGAAAGAGATATATTATTCCTTGTGTCTGTGCGTGCGAGATGACACGGATATATAGTTGAACAAACATTCATTAACGTCAATACAAAAAAAAACGCTTCAATTATACACGCTGTTAATATTAACATCAAGGCCATGAGTCTATATTTGGTGTGTGCCTAAAATAACCTCCGATGGCATTTACGCAGAGAAGTGCGTTTGTAAAAATTACAATCTGCCCCTGGGACATTTCATTCTGATAAATTCAGAGCAGAAACTTGCTTATATTTGATAAACGATGGGGGGTGTTCATTAAGTGAATGGCTGTGCATTTAATTGGTTGAGATGGAAAATAAAAATGGAGAGACACTATGAACAATCATAAAAAAAATGTTCTGACGCAGGCGATTTATCCGCTCAATCCTAGCTAAGACTGTTTGGTGTAGTAGGGATTACGCCATTTAATTCTTAAATGGATGCAAGTCAATCAAAATGAATTCAATATCATGGATGTTAAAGGTAATGTATCCCTTTTGCTGCCAACATCAAATTATGTACAACTTTGCAGGAATTATGAATATGTCACGTAATTATGTCCTATCTGTGAAATTTAAACGTAAGCAGTGTCCTAGTATTCAAATTATGCAAGGAAACCTGTTTACTTTCGAGACTTCACTGACATACACTATTGAGTGACTGACTGACTTCTTTTTTTCTTTGGTAATAGGCTAACATACATAAAACGAGCTGCACATGAGCATTTGTCTACATCAATAACCCACTACTTGTAATGGTCAAAATTAAACTGATTGAATCTTTGCGCAGCATAAAACGTACAACCATTCAGTGCAAGGGTCTGAAAATCAGATTAATTAAACGATAGCAATCGCTAAATTCGATTCGACAACTGACGGTCGTTATTTTCCAAGAAAAAGACATTTTCAAGCCCTTTTATTTTGAGGGGAGTTCTAAATTAGTGTATATCTTTCAAATGCGATTTCGGATAAAGAAAAACCCTAACCCCTATCTGCTTATAAGTATGTATTAAAATATTGGTGCAGGGCTACCCTATACTATCTTGAATACTTTTTTAATGCGAAAGAAATTGTCATCATGTCCCCTTCGAGATGACTAGTCATCTTAAATGTGCCATTAACAGCACACCTCAGTTTAAATCTCTAACTGAATAATATACCAAAAATGAAATACGACATAGCATTCATCCCGTAGTATTCCAGTCAGACAAGTTAAAAGAGAAACCAAGCCTCTTTCATTTGTGCTTTTGAGGAGTTTAACCAGAATAAAAAATACCTTCACGTATTCTAAACACCACATCAAAACATGACGAATTATCATCAATTTAACTCCATCACTCAAGGAACACAAGTGATTGCCGAAAATTGGACTATGAATAAACTTAATTACTCTATAAAAGGTTAATTCCCTCGACGAGAGTGGTGACCATTTTCTATTTGAATTCAAACAAGGCAATTAAACTCCCGTTGCGTTAGGAATTCGTCGGTTGCAAAACGAGATGTTATAAATCAGCATGTGATTCCTACAAAGAACTGCTATATGTATTTATACCTATATGGTACGTTGACACCAAACCGATTGTGACGTCATCAGTACCTGATTCCAGCTTTCTGCGTCTCTCCTTTGAGCTTGCAGCGACCGGCCGGGTATCCATCATTTCTGCGTGACGTCATTTTAGACGATTTCCCCGGTTTAGGTGTAAGCAGCCGGTCGAGAGGAAAACAGGTTCTCTTTCATTCTCTGATTTCTCCTGTTTGGTAGTGAAATGAAAGATTCTCATGACATCAAGGTGAATGACTGGGAGCTACACTATATATCAACAACAAGATATAATGCTAGATAAATACACCTTTATCAATAGCGACTCTATTCACTATGTTCCAATTAGGTTGTTTTCGTAACTATTAGTAATACGCAAAACAATTAGACATGACCGATGAGTTTGTCTTAGTGTGATATTAAAGCATTGATGAAAACAAAAAGTCAACAAGAGAACTAAAATGGTTTGATATACAGTGTACCGCTGATTTTGACAGCAGATCATAGTTTATGGGATGATAAGTCAATTGTTTATTGATAAACTATGAACAAAAATGAAAAACCATAACATTAACATTCAAGCCTGTGTCTTGTGGTTCATCATGAGTGTTAAGTAAAGCTTTGGGTAGCCCCATTGACAACACTATCACGTTTGCTCTTTGACGAGCCCGCTGTCAATTAAAGAGTGAGTAAAAGATCGAAGATGATGCATGCTAAAAGGAGTGCATTTGTTCTGACGCTTTTATCTTTATGCGGTCGAAATCAAAGCGTTCGTAGAGTTTAGGTAATTTATGCTGGAAGAAGAGTCAAGGTTAAAGGGATAAAAACAACCGAACAAAGCCTTGTATTCCGCCTGTCTCTGGTGTTTCATTGTTTAACATCATGCATGGAAGAACCAATAAATAGTATTTTCGATAATTTTTTTAATGATTAATTTTTAATATCAAAGGCAAGATATTAACAAAAGATCAATAATTTCCACTGCAATTACTTCCAACAGTGGTTGCACTTTTAATGGAGTAAACAATTCAATGTAAGTTCAGGAATTTATATAGAAAACTACTTTTTATTACCAAGATTAATCATATCCTTCAGAACAGTGAGTAATTAGGCTTTTAACCATGAATGCAAAAAAGTAAGATATATTTATGTTTAATATATTGGCCTTTGTGTTGTTCTTGTTTTGAATTTGTTTTTTGTGTTTTTTTGCTAGTTTTATCCTTTGTTCAAGTGTATATTTGATAACAACATACTTGTTTCAACGTTAGTGAAAAACAATAGTGATTCAATAATTCTTGATTGGAACAAATTGTAGTCTACTGAAAGCTCGTCAAAAAAAATAAGCGCCCTGGGACTTTTTTTAATAATAGCATTTCAAAGGGTGTATCCGTTCATTAACCATGTTAGTGGACTTTAAAATTATATTAATTTGTATTCTTTTACTTTCGTTGCTTTAGGTAATGGTGCAATAGATCACGAGGAGCTGAAGGTGGTATTAAGAGCGTGTTTATGTGAGAGTTCAATGACGATCAGTGAGGCAACCATTGACGCTTTGACCTCGGCGTTGTTTGAAGCAGCCGACACCGACGGCAGCGGCGCCATCAGCTTCGAAGAACTCAAAGAAGAGCTGGAAAAGAACCCGGATGTCATGGAAAACTTGACCATAAGGTTAGTCACTCATTTACTTTGTCACTGTAAATACTATCGAAATATTAATTTAAAATGAGTAGAATACACTGTCGTAAATAGGACTTTGCCTTTGATACTCAGCTCTTGACTATTTTCTTTTGAAATAAAGACCAAAACAAAGCAAAAGGTGAATACATGTCATGGTAACTTCTTTTCTAACAAATTAGAAGATACGGCAAGGTGAACAAAAAGAGATCTCAAATATACTTACATAGATATTTCAAACTATGGTCGACGATTTTACTTTCAAATTCATGGCGGACACCCCCACCATCGTCTTATACAATGTCGCTAACTCTATAACTCCATCTACACATCCTTTGCCTGAACACCCATTGACTTTCTATCTATAATACTTCAATTCTATCACCTTCCTCACCTTCTTATCATTTTCTTTTCAAGATCATATGTATCACGTTATGTGTAAAAGAAAATACAATTTAATAACATATACTTGTTGAATGACAGGTTTGTTATGCGAGCATAAACGCACTATTGTCCATGCATGTCGTGCGTTTTGATATTTCACACTCGGCGAGGTATCAACGTGCTTCCGTCTTGTTAAATAGCAGCCAATATTGACAGTTGATCAACAAAGATGCGAAATATATAATTGAGATTCGTCTCCTATTATCCTTCAACCTTCAACGAGTTTAGAGAGGAGACGAAGGAAGGCAGAGGAAAAGTATAAGAGAAAGGAAAGTGTGCGTGTGCGTGCGTGTGTGGATGAGAGAGAGGGGGAGAGAGATAAAGAGAGAGAGAGAGAGGGGGAGAGAGAAAGAGAGAGAGAGAGAAAAAAGAGGAGGAGAAACAGAGGTGTAGAATAGGGTGAGATAATGAAATAGAGAGAGACAGAGAGAGAGAGAGACAGACACAGAGAGAGACAGAGAGAGAGACTAGAGAGCGAGAGAGAGAAATTGTGGGACAAGGGGAGGAGAGTTAAACGATGGAGAGCGATAATTATATAGAGAAGGAAAAAAGTTAACTTACATGGTGCTGCCCTATCCCAATTTTTTTTTTAAATTTTTTTTTTAGGCGATGATAGAATTTCATCTTTCGTTATTGGTAAATGATTCTAATCTCAAGATCAGTTTCACACTTTTTATCAATTTTTTCCGACAATGGAGTGAAAAACCCAAGTACACGTTTAGTTACATTCCACATCGAATATGCAATGTAAATGAAGTAGGATTTTCTGTCTATCTCTTTCCATCTTTTTTCCTCATCATGCTTCTATATTTTATATCGACTTGGAACGAGTAATACGGATGATCTAAGGAAGGACAGCCATCATCCTTCATATTCCATGCCGACTCGCAATACACCCGACGTTGTAATCCTCTTAAAGATCGGTGCGTGCGTGTAATTCATTGATGATATTCCTCGGGATGACCTTCCGATTTCCGAACGTCTTCTTTGAGGCATCTCTCTCTCTCCCATACAACATGCACCATGGACAATTCTAATCGACAAAAATGGATTCCTGTACTTATTGAGTGAAGACCCTGACGACAAACAGGGAATATGTATGATTAGGAGAGACATTATAAAGCTGTATGTCTCTGATGCTCCTGGTCTATTTTTTCTGTCTTGAATAGCCAAAGACGCTAAGTGTTCCATGAGTTCTAACGAAATAAAGTCATCTTGCAGCTTCTTTAGAAATATATTGATATTGCAGAAAATAATGCTAGATATTCTGAGAAGAAAAACAAATTGTCTTTATCAACACGCTTAAGAAGGCCATCGAATGACAACATGTCGTACTACTTATAATGTAAAATTGTAAAACTTATTTTTCATCCTTTTTATATCATTTTTGTTTTGTTTCACTACTTCAAAGCTACTTGTCACTCTCTCGTAGAAAGACAAACCAGTTCATTCTATTCATAGAAATTATGTCAACAGATATACGACGACACTTCTCGAACGCACTGCCCCTTGGTATATAGGCACTCTGGTCATTTTCATCCAATAAATTTTATATTTAGAGAAATCAATGTCCTTGGACTCTTGAAAAACCGTCGGGTTTCCGTTCCATGAAAGAAGACGATATGTAGATTAATGGGAAATACTCGGGGAATACCAATTTCCCTTTATTCTTATTCTCGGTGGAGGGGATAATAACACGGTCAATCTCTCTACTAAAGAGGAATATTAACTGACCGTGATCTCTTCGGGTCACCTGCCCTCTTTTTAAACCAGTTACCATGACTTCTTCCAATTTCTCGCTGTCCTATCTTTTCGTTTAAGGTTGTCCATTCTAATTTCGCATCTGAGGGGTGCAGATCTATACGAAACTCTTCCAGCGAATGCGTCACCTTTTGTTGTCTTACGTGTGTTGTATAATTATTTCCAAAAAATTACAAAAATGTGAACCGAATGCTATGCCATCAGCAATCTTTCCTCTTCTTCCTTTATCGTACACAAAAAGTTTTAAAAGATGGCTCCTACCATATTAGTTGATAAGATCTTATTAACAACGGAATATTATTTCATTTCATAGACTGTATAATACAATAAGGGTTTCAGTCCTTCGATTGATAGGCTTTGTGGAGAATGGGCTATCGATAAGAATATTATGGACATCTTTTACATGTAGATGCCATGAAGATTGAGGCAGAAAAGCTGATTTGTTTTATCATTATTCTTCTTTATTAAATTATTCATAATATTTAGCCACCGCGACCTCCCCGACTGATCTAATTGTGGTTTCAACGCTTGATATAGCCTAGATAAAGGTCATCGGTTCAACACAAATTTATGTTGGCGATGCGTTAATCTAGATTGCCACTCTCGACCCAGGTCCAGTAAATGGGCCCCGACTTGCCTGTGGGGGAATGGGGGGGGGGGGGGTGGATTCATTGAATGCTTAGAGAGCCGTAACAACAGCTACCATACTGAATCCAGGCTAATAAATACTAGGACACCACGAAACACAGACATGTACATGCAGGTATCAACTGGAGGTAACCTAATTGGATTGGAAAAGCGCCATGTTCCCAACTATGTCTTCTTCTTTCGTTTGTATATCAGAATGAAAGCGTTCAATGAATGATCATACACGTACGTCTTCATGGTGTTAAAGTCTTTTGCTTTTCGCATATGGGTAATGTCAAAATGTTAAAGCCCCTCTGCACTAGTTTGGCCAGGAGGGATTAGACCTCCCTTGTATGTTCACTGACAGGTGGTTATCTCATCAAATCAGCTCTCGAGTAACATGAGAAAAAGGGAACCATGGCGGGCCAATGGTCACCGATTAGGCATTGTTTGCTATAAAGAGGGTGCAAATAGCTATTAATAGTGCAGTGGGGCTTTAAATGTCTCCTCACTAGCTTAGTGAGGAGACATCACAGACCACAAAGGATAGATTAACTCAGAGCCACTCAGTCTCTCAAGCCTCATCTCTTATTGAAGCCTCTAGCATAGTAAGGTGTCAGGTAGTAATTGTCATTAATGGCTTCGACTCCGAGTAAATGAAAGATAAGATCAGACATATTTGATGTTTTATTGAGACTCTTGTATTAGGTTCATGCTCTGACACACAGAATGAGTTTCCGTGAAAATTGACACGGCGATTCCATTGAGCTAAAACATATTAGTTTCCATCCGGTTTTTATAATTTAGATTTAACACTCAATAACAAGCTCTAATATGATAATGACTAGAAACGGATTGATTCCCCCAATGTCCTGTTGTAGTATATAATAATAATATTAATAGTGTAAACTTGTAGAGCGCACACACCATCCAGGGACGCTCATGGCGCTAGCTCAGCAACAGTTCTCTTTAATACATGTACAAGTAAAGTAAATGTAAATGTTTATTTGATGATAAAGTTATCAGAAACTCAAAACCAATTTTGCAACATTGGTGTCACCCATTTCAATCCACAGCTCTGCCCGGTGTTTTATTATTCATATATTGTGATTATCGTATTGATCTGAGCATGGTCGAATTTAAGTTATCATTCAAGATGATAATGAAAGATCCCTTAAACAAACAATACTTTAATATTCTTTAAAAATTGTCTCGATAAATATTCCTAAGTCAAAGGAAATGAGTAAAATTGACATCGATTTGTTCTGTTAATATAGTTTGTATAACTGGGATTGAAAGTTACTGGTATATATTCATGATCCTAATTCCCCATTCGATTAATCTTGGGAGTAAACATCTTGGTCTAGTGGAACTCCCTTTTAGACAACGATTTTCTATATATGCCTCAGGACACATGTGATGTCATATTCTAGCTCGAAAAAAAAAAAATCTTATTTTTTTGCGCGTGTCCATGTTGAGTAATATGGTTTAGGTAGAGTACGTGATGGAATAATGGTAGTCGAGATGTAGAGGAAGCATAGCTTGCAGTATCAAATTCTCCTGATGACGAAAGACGGTCTCGGCTCTGTAAACACAGCCACTATCCTCCACCATTCTCTACTCACTCCATCGCCACATTTCATGCCGTCTTAGTGCTTTAAAATCGCCAGTGTCGCTACCATTCTAAAAAACTGTCTTTGAACAGCTTATCTTCAACTTATAAGCTCGTTCTGCCCATCCCCGTGGGGGGAGAGAAGTAAAGGAAATTCAACTGGTACTGCGCGAGAAATATAAGTACCACGGTAAAAGAGAGTCTGACTTCTTTTTGCTAAAATGGAAAGTTGGGTCATGATGAAATAGTAGTATCATCAATAAGAATGTTTTTCCGAGTTCCTTTTCATCCCGAGAGACTGCACTGTCTTGTAGGAATGGTCGATATATCGAAACCATCTCTGTCTTGGAGAGCGATACGCACCTGCGAGTCGAGGAGGAGGAGGAGAAGAGAAGAGAAAGATAGGCCAACGAGAAGTTAATCAGTAGATAACATGAAGATTATTTGGCGGGATCTGACCCACATATAATTTCATTGGCGTCCCCTGTAAAGCTGGGCTTAAGTTCCCGACACTTTTCACGCTCTCGTGTAATCAAACGCAGTCCAATTA